TACACGCCTAGGAGAAACTCTCCAGCATGGCATCTCCTGGGCCCACGCTGACAAACACATCACTACCACCAGGCCAGGCACCAGGCTGCGGCCACCGGAGGGGCACGAAAGCACTTGGTCACTGGCCCGTGGAGGGGACCTGCTGCCATGGGAACAGCACTGGAACGGGAGCCAAGGGCCTGGCTCTGGTCCTGACACCCCTCCCAGCTGTGTGGCCATCAACGCGTCCCCTACCCTCTTTTCTTTAGGAATGGCGCTTTTCCATTCCCGAGAATGGTGTGAAAAATTAAACAAGAAAAAGAGAGCATTTTATAAAACATAAAATGATCACATAAATGCAAAACGTCAATATACCGAACTACAAAAACTAGGTAAATATAAGCTAAATCACTATAAAACGATAAATCAAATGATACCCCGCAATTGGCACAAAATCAGTTCTTTAAAATAGCAAGCTGATATGCTACCAGTTTCCTTACCTTGTAAGAAGAAACACATTCAGCCAAGAAATCAAAGTAACAAACTGGTACCAGCCACTCCCCAGCCACCAGAATATTCCAGAGGCTGCCTTCCCTAAAAGAGAAAACACCAGACAGGCTCAGGAAATGTTTTTAGGAGAACCAGACTTCTAACGAACTGTTTTTATGAAGGCCAAGCTAGAAGCACAAGGAAATTTACTAACACATTTTGAAAGAAAATTAAGATGCAGTTAGGGATAAAGTATATTGAGGCGATGCTAGTCAGCACAGCGGGAACATCCACACACTTAAACGCAGAAACATAAACAAGTCACATGGCAACACGTAACGCTGATAAAGACGCAGGAAGAAACGATGCGGAAACACTGAACCCATGCATCTCAGTTACAGCCTGACCACGCACGTGGACTTACACAGAGCCCTAAACACCGGAGAAACGCAATGCTCATGCAGCCCGAACGCAGAATGAAACGTGTTACGTCAAGGGTCAAAAGCATGTAAACCTAAATGAAATTTTTATTTCGCTAGGTAAATCATTAATTGCAGGTGCTTAACTGCCAGAAGCCTTGAAGAGAATGTTAACACAGAAAGCCAAAATAACCACCTGGAGCCACCATGGCCAACCAAAGAACCGACAACACCGTCTCCGACACAAACCACCCTGCCGCTCGGGTCCTCTGCAGGGTCTGCGTCAAGAAGCGACCTGTGACAGGTAAGATGTGTGCGAGGGGCACGTTCAGACACGGTCACCGGAAAGCCACAATACAACAACAAACGCCCACCAGCATGATTTAACCAAAATTCTCTCAAACCAGTAAGTGAAGAGTCTCTGCCCAAGGGAAAAAAAAAAAAACTATACTAACGAAATTAACTTAAGAAAACACTGCTCTGTGTCTGAATAGTTACCACCTACCCCCCTTCTGCCTGCAGATACTAATGGTCAAAGCGGGCATCCCGTGAAGCCCAGGGCCTGGTGGCTGCCCTTGCAGGCTCACGGTCAGTGCCAGCAGGATTTACATCAGAAAGATGAGATACTTTCAAGCAAATAAAATTCCAGACACCAGCACTTAACATGCTCCAGGTGAAAAAATGATTATTCAAGAACCAAAATGAAAATCATCCTACAGTCATTCCCGTATTTTCCAGTGAAAAAGCATTTTGGAATTACAGGTGGCAGTGCCACTGGGTGGAAACTGACGCATGACAGACCTTTCAACAAACAGCACACGTTACACAAAACAAAACTGGTTAGGGAATCAGCTTTGCTCCATTTTTAAAAGTGACTGCTGAACACTGCACACTCATTAATTAACGCTTTTGTGTACACTGACAGCTGAAACTATCAAGTAATCCCAACGTGGCTAATATGCAAAGAAATAGGAAGATTCTTTTAAAAACCTATTGTTTTATGTTTATTAATTAACAATTAGGAGACAACTATTTTTGAAGCTCAGCTTTTTTAAAAAAAGGCGGCCTAAAAAAGGTGCCCCTTTACCAAGAAAGTTACAGGTATAAACTGGACACGTCTAATCTGCCACGTAAACCTCACCTCTGTGTCGCAAAGGTCCAGGCGGCAGATGGCACCGCTGGGGCCACTGCTCCCCGCCGAGACGGCCAACGCCAGAGGCACCTAGTCCTTCCTAAGCCTTCAGCTCGCCTCAAAGAGTTTTCTCATACATCCCGTTTATGTTAAGTATGCTTACAAAGCAGCTTTTCAGGGGAGACAGTCTCTGTTTTAAACCAAAGGTAGCCTGAACCCTGTCATTTATAAAGAGCACTTGAACTCCAAACACAAAGAACAAGCATTTGTGAAGAACATGATAAAAACAAAAGTGCAAGAGACGACCTGCTTGAGAAAAGGTGTGCCCAACGGTCCCTGCCACGCTCCATGGCCCGGAAGACTGCCAGTGGCTGGCTGGCTGTGTCTCAAGGCGCTGCTTCCCCTTACAGTCATCGCCTGCGGGTGGTGGTGACAAGCAGTTAATTGGACAGATTAATATGCGAACCTTGTCGATCTGAACTGTGCACAACAATGGCAGCTTAAAAAAATTAGAAACTCAATTATGAGAAAAGAAAAAACAGCAAAGCGAATGCAACCTGGTGACGATTAGTGTCCATGGTTAAGGCCAGCGCGACTCCATTAGGGAGGGCCACTGAGTCCCTGGGGTTAGTGGCCTGACAGTGACGGCCTGTGGGAAACCAAGTCCGAGGCCAAGAGCGTCAGAGGTAAAACGAAGCCATACTCACACGACGACTCCCCATTCTCCCTGAGGTGGCCGTCCTCTCCGAGGACGCCTTTCACGTCCATCCTCCCTCTGTCGCCAGGCCGAGCTGCAACACACGCGAACAGCGCTCAGCGAGCCGGAGAGCCCCGCCGCCCGCCGCCTCCTGCCTCGGGGACGGCTCGGCTCGGCTCGCACGGGAGGGGAGGACAGGGCGCAGGGCTTCGGTTACGAAGGGATTTTAAAGCCCCGGCCGGCTAACCAGCGCGCCCCGCCAACACGACACCAAGACGGGCCTGCTGAAGATCTTTTGAAACAGCATTCGTAATGTCATTCAAAAGAATCGTTTTTGCTTTAAAAGGGTAATAAGAATCAAAAGTTGAGCATACTAACTTTTTATTTAAAAAGCAACTTAAAAATGTTTAAACACTGATCAGCTTTCAGAAAAGTGAATTGCACACAAGACACATTAAAACTTTCCCAAGCTCCCTTCTGGAAAAGTCCAGCGAAAGTCTGCATTAAGGCCGCAAGAGGAGAAACGTGAAAAAGCAGTGCTCTCTCCACCGTGAAAGTGTTATTTGGTGGAAAAAGGAGGAAAAAAAATTTAATAAATACCTTTTGATTCACGGCTTTTTGAGTTATAGCTTTCTGATTCACGATCTTTTGATTCGTAACTTTTCAATTTGTAATTTTCTGATTCGCGATTGAGCTTCATTAAAACCACTTGAAAAAGTTGAACTAACAATGATGAAAGAGATGACGAAACGTACTTGGCCAGCCACAAAATCCTATCCGTGTAGAAAGACGCGCCGCCTAGTAAAAAACCGGGAACAGTTACTCCTTCCTACACAGCCAACGGTCACTCCTGACACGTGGGACAACCACGTTACTCACTGCAGGCCAGGCAGACTAACTTTTTAAATGGACGCCAGAGAGTATTTGGGGAGCGACATAATGATAAATGGCACTCTGCCTGGAGTGACACACGTCACGTCCTGACAGAGCTGCAGGGCCCAGCTTCACGGGACGGCCGCCGACACCGACTCTCCCTCACTAGCGATCGCCCGCAAAAGAGCCAGTTTGAGGGAATTTCACCAACACTGTTCACACGAACGCTACCACGTGTAGATGCCGTGAACGACCCCTCCTTCACCTAAGCTCTCGCCCGCCCACCTGCCTGGACTACCCGCCTGGAGGAGAACTATCAGGCGAGACCCTGGCCGCGCCTCGAGGATGTCCGCCACAGCATTTGCAATAGGGGACAACAGAAACAAACGACATGGCCTTCGGAGGCATCGGCTCAGGTTTGGAGCCGCTGGACCAGGAAGACCTGGCCCCTCTTCTCTGCCTTTCGTCCGTGCCTCAGCTTCAGAAGACACTCGTGACCCCCGATGCATTTCCTGGCCACCTAAAATGTGTGGGGTGAGCCTCCGCAAGCCACAGTTGCTAGACAGTCTTCTTCTTGAGAAAAAGTTCCCTTGCAGAGTGGCAGACAAAGCAGGCTGGCTTCTCCAGGGGCGGGCCCGGTCCGAGCGGGGTCCGTGCCCTTTAACCTGCCCGCCCACCTCTGGTATGTTGACCCGAGAGAGGCTGGCGCGTGCACACCGCAGACGGACAAGAAAACATGCCGAAGAGACGCCTGAATGTCACCTGATTAATACAGCGATTAAGAAAGTTCTCCGCAACTGTAAACGCAGTAGTAGAAGGCGTCAAAGAGGCTGAAGCTCAGCTCGACGAACACACGAAATGAAAACAGCGGCAAAGGCCGGCACGCGCCCTGGTGGTGCTGACGACGAGGCGGAGACGAGGCACGGCTTCTGCAGGCGTCCGCACAGCAGTCGGCGACTGTCCTGTGTGCCCCCGAACAGGCCCCTGCTCAATGGCTGAACCTCCAGCAGCAGAGGACATGAGAACAAAGTAAGGAGAGGGAACGCGGGGAGTCCGTTCACGCCTGAGGGAAGCTACGCGTGTTCCCGAAACGTGGCCACAGACGCTCAGGCAGTGAGGGCCCCCCCAGCTCAGAGCGGGCTGCGAGGCCGGGCCCGGTGGGAGGGCTGCTCTCTGGCTGGTAGGCGTGGGGACTCGAACTTCCTTCCTGGCACATCTCTGACTTCCCATGGTTCTTCCATAAATGTTTAACGACTAAGAAGAGACTTTTTAAGAGCGATGAATCAGTTTGCTCCACGAATCACTGCTGTACTCTAAGAGAACAGGAAGACGACAGACGACAGAAACGAATGAAAACATAACTTGTTTTCCCCTCCAAGACGACCAAGGCCGTTTAAGCCAGCGAAGGGCGAGAGTCTCCAGTGGACCCTGCCAAAGGCCAGGCAGCACCGTCCCATCTGAAGACACCGTGCTGCAGAGCTGGGGACCCGCGGGTCCAGCGGTCCTGCACCGAACTGTGCCGGCTGGCTGCCGGTTATAAACAGGTGTGCCCTTTCTACGACACGAGTGAAGAGGCAGCAAGAAAGCAGAAAATGTCTCCCCACAGCCGTGACATCACTGGTTACAGCTGGGGCTGGGCTTTTACTCCAAGAACGATGTCACGTGCAGCTCAGTGATGGCGCACTTCCAAGCGCAGTCTCGACACCCCCGCCCGCGGGTGCCTCTACGTGGCCACGTGGAGCTAGGAGGGGGCCCGGAGGTGGCACCCAGCTCCGAGGGGAGCACATCCTGCAGGCCACGCCAGGTCCGACCCAGCGTCCATCCCTGACGGCGAGTCTCGTGAGCCTGTACGCCGGGGACAGCCATGGTGCTGGGGCCGCTGCGCTGGCGAGGCAGCGGGTGTGTGCGCTGGAGCGGGCGCGCCCTGGGCCACGTGGGTCTCCACGCAGGTGAACCCAGGTTGAGGCAAAGCGTCGCAAAGGGGATCTTCATGTGGGGCCTGCCACTGATGCGACAGCAGACAGACGAGGGCGCAGCGCG